CGCGAGCAGCTCCTTGTTGACGTTCGACAGCCCCGTGCTCCCCGACTCGCAGGTGTCAAAGTTGGCGCACCGCTTCTCCGCGAGCCGGTAAACCATCTTGCCGGCCGAGCTGCCACCCACGTTCGGCCCCTCGAGCGAGCCGGCGTAGAAGGCGACGCCCTCGTCCCACGCGTGCACCGCCTTGTACTGAGGGCTGTCCGGCCCGAACGAGTCCGACAACTCGTTGCAGTTCAGACCGTCCGCGCAGTTCTTGCAGTCGTCGATCGCGTCCTCAAACTCGCGGATCACGTACATCCACACGTTCATGTACGCCGTCCCCTTCTTGACCGCCTCGATCCGCGCGGCGTCGCCGAGCGTGGCGAAGTTGTTCGGGCCGTGCCGCCCGCTGCTGAAGGCCATGTTGGTGCCGTCGAGGGCGGCGCTCACCCACTTGTCGGCGTAGTCAAAGTCCTCGTAGTAGTCGTAGAAGGCCGAGAAGGTCTTGTACGGGCAGCCGACGCAGCCGTTGTACATCTTGCCCTCGGCGCTGGTGGAGAAGCCCTTCATGGTGCGGAGCCCGTTGGGGGCCTTGCCCGACAGCGAGTTCCCGCCGACGGCGTACCAGTCCTCGGCCAGGTCAAAGTTCGGAGTGCTTTCCTTGAGCGCCGCCTCCAGCGCCTGCTGGTCGAGGTCGAGGTTGGCGTGCTTGGTCACGTCCGAGCCGGGGGTGTAGCCCGTTATGTTGGGCCAATCGCTGCCCTCAACGAGACCCAGAAGGAGACCCAGTAGGGCGACGACGCCCGCCATTGCAGTGTTTTCCTCCACCCTTTTGGCACACCTCCTACACCTTCTGTGGGCACCCTTCTACCACTCAGGTAAGCCGCGACGGCTGCTGGCAGCAGGCGTGAGGAGGCAGTGTGCCGGCACAGTCGAGCCGGAGCATCGGGTTCTTGATGCTTGTGGGGTCAAGTTTGACCTTATGTGGTATAATATGCAACAATAATGCTATGCTATCTCCCCCACTCCCGGCTTTTTGATATATGATCCCTCAAAGTCGAATTATGGTTTACTGGTGACCACACAAAGATAGTAGTGTCTGGCCTGTTTGCGTTTCTTCAAACGAATCCTTTAAAGTCTCGACAATCACCAAGCTGCTTATGTGGCACCGCAGAGGCTCCCTTGGGGATGCTTGAGGCCACCCCAACCACTCTACGTGGACGAATTCAAATCTACTTTTATGGTTTACCTACCATTATAAGGGAGTAGAGGGGCAGCCGGGGTCTCGCAATAGGGTCGTACAAAAGGTATAAGGTATGAGTGTGTGCAACAAGAAGAGCACGAGTCGCGGACAAAAGGAGAGCAGAACACGACCACACACACAACAACACACACGACACAACAACTCTCTCGCGCGCGTGAACAGGGCACAGACAGACGCACCTCCCATACCCCCCTCTGGACGCGTCCACCCTCCGTCCAATCGAGCCCTTCCCTAAAATACATACATGCATAATCCACGAACCAAACATCGCACATGGTGTATGCCGCCTTTATAGGCGACGGACACTTGCGTCCTAACTGTATAGCATTGTAGCCTCCAAGTACCAAGAACGCCTTACCTGTACTCCCCGGGCAGAGTGGCCGTGTGTGTCTCGCGCCTTGCGGGGGGGGAGCGGAAAGGAGGAACCTCTTCCCTAGAGCACCACTCTTGGAGCGCCGACACCACCACGCAGAGCGCTGCAAGCAGCGCCGGGCAATGACGGCTTACCGCCCACCCAGCCCCCCTCGGCGCACCCCGGCAGCCAATGTGTGACGGCTCGAACCCGCTAAGCCATCCCGCAAGCGGGACGGCCCGCCACTCGAACCCGCAAGCGGGCGTACGAACCGCGAGCGGCTCGCACGTGGCAGGATTCCGCCAGACGGCGCCGGGGCTAGGCGACCGAAGAGGAACTACGGCAAGAGCCGCACACCACCCGTTGACGAGCGCTCGCGGAACTGGTCCGCGGCGCCCGCCAGGGGCGTGCGCGAGACAGGGGTCGGGGCCCTTTTCTGTGAGCAGGGATTCCCTCCCGGCGGGGGGGGGTTGTGGCGGAGAGCCGGCATAGGATTCGCCGGCCCCCACCCAGGGGGTGCCCCTGCCAGGCGCCGCAAGCGGTGCCCGGCAGGGGCGGGTGCCCCCTCGCGAGCGAGAGGGGTGGGGGCGGAGTCGGGGTCCAACGTGATCCGGTCGATCGCCTCGGTAGAGGGGAATTTTCGCAAAAAACAAAAAAGTCAGCGCACTCCATGCCGGGCACTGAGGGGTACTGTAACCTTTCCCCCCTCTTGCTGTAAGCGTACTTTCCTAAAAGAATTTAAACAAAACAACTCGCTCTCACAGCACACAGGCTCGACACAGGTGCGAACTGGCGCGTGCTAGTACTATCACCGGCACACCACCGGAGCCGCCTAAGCGACTCCGTTAAGAACGGCAATGCACTTAGCTCCGTGCACAATGCCGCTGTCCCCGCACGCTAGCTCGTTCACCGTCTGCCACGCCACGGCGGTGTGGAGAACGACAGACAAGCGCTGCATCTGCAGCCCGTGCCAGTTCTTGGTGGTCCATGTGACCTCATCGAGGTGCTGAGCGTGCGAAAGTTTGTTACTCAGCTGGTCCGCCGCCTGCCGAAGAATTCTGCGGACGCCGTCCCCGAAGCCGCCGAACGTCTCGAAGTCGAGCAAACGCATCTTACAGTGGGTTGCGGGCATTAAGAAAACAGGATTCCGCGGCACGCCGCCGTTTCTAAGCCTTTCCACAGCCCTCATCCACCCCACGCCGTGGTTTCTTAGCTCCGGGCGGGGCACTCAATCAAGCCAGAGCGCCGGCCCGAAGGATTTTTAGGTAAAAGAGTGTTAAAGCTCGGTCCGCGAGGGCGATGCCAAGAGTCTGCCGCCGAGTCGGCTCTCTGGATGAGGGGAAGACGCACACACGCCTCCATCCACTGACCACTCCACTCAGAACACCGCAGACTTGAAAAGTGACAAGTGCGCTGCCGCAGGCCCAGGCGAAGAGAAATTTTGAGCTGCAGCTGGGGCTCCGGACCCGTTCACACTCGTGTCTGGCCTTTTCTCGGGGCCGCGCCTGCGACGCCCCGTGGTTTCTTAGATTTTTGCGGAAATCTTGGTAGGGTTTCTTGCTGCGACGCGGCCGGACGTGGTAGCGGCGGAGCGTCGCGACTCCGCCCTTTTTTCGCCCAACACGCTATCCACCGTCACCGACCCTGCCGCCAGCGCCGCGGCTTCCCGCCGCGCGCGCTCACGCTAGGGCGCTCGCTCACCGCATCTCGGTTTGTGCATTGAGCTCTGAGGCCCCCATCACGCCGGGGATCCACGGCCGGCGAGGCGTCCCGCCGGAGGCCAGGATTGAGGCACCTGCGCCGTCGACTCGGCGAGACCCTCGCCATCACCAGCCTCTACCTGGGAATACCGCATCCGCATTCCCGCTCGTCGCTTTGCGCATTCCGCAGATCCCTCAGGGGGCATGGACGCGTTCCTCCCTGGGGGTCAACTCGAGCGGCCCCTATCTTGGCTCGGCCGAGCACGCCTGCCAGCGCACCTTCGAGTACTTACGGCAACTACCCCCGCCGCGGTCTTGAGCCCGCCGCGCGCAACCCGCATCCGCAGCAGGACTGCCTGCAACCGACGTGCAGCCCCACTACCTTCGATTGTGGGGGCAGGGATTGAGGACCCCTGTGCTATTTGTCCCGAGATATGTGGTGTTACTCGACTAGAGCCGTACGTCGCGACTCGTCGAGGGGGGGGACGTCTGGCCGAAGGCTCATCCAGCCATATCTCGTGGTGTGTGTGCACTGCTCAGTGTGGTTTCTTTATCTACATCGATGTAGGTCACGAGGCCCCGCCGTGCAGGGCGCTACGGGCTCCGGCCGGACGCAGTCATTAGCCTCACATCCAGGGCCGGGGAGCTAAGAAGCGCACCCAGCGGGCCGGATGATCGGGATCGGGCTACGGGCTAGAGAGCCCTGACCCCTACCGTAGCGGGGGGGGGTGCGCGTTCGCAGGGAGAGGGCCGTAAAGTAAACACGGGTCTCCGAGGGTTAGCTCCGCGCTCCAGGTTTCCCCTATCAGCAGAACGCCCCCTCTACTCGGAGCTAGTAAACACTCGACACGTTTTCTTTCTTTTTTCTACTCGGAGCCAGTGATACGAGAAAATACGCACATGTTACGAGAATACACACCGCCCCCACGGAATACCTGTGCTACTCGACGATAATACAAGAATACGCTGACGCGCTCTTTTACTATCTGGTAGATTCAGATAGTGGCTCTGAGCCTTCAGATATCTGGCAGATACCCAGATATCTAGGTATCTGGTTCATCTAAACCCCAGCCTTGGACCGAGCGTCTGCGATCGGTACTCGGAGAGAGGCGCTTCGTTGTCGTACTCGGGTTTGGATGGTAGCGGGGGGCCCCGCCGGAGGCTGGTTACTGATTTATTTGTTTATGTGAGGTTGGTCCTTAGGCCCGGCTCGTCACTCGCTCGTGTCTCGACGGCGAAGGCCTGCGGCACCCTGACCGCCTCCCGCCCGTCCGACGCACACGCTCTTAGTGCACCGAACAGGGAGAGGACCGCTCTCGTGTCTCGACGGCCCGAAGCCCTGCGGCGCCCCCCCCCCCCCCCCCCTTGCCCGAGGCGGCACCGCCGTCCGCCCCTGCGCCGCCCGCCTCGCCCGGTTTCCTCGGGAACCGGCCCGCTGCTGCCGCCCTCGCCGCCCGAAGCGCTGCCTGCCCCGCGCCGCCCGCCTCGACCGCCGCCGCCTCACCCCGACTCGCCGCCACCTCGCCGAGAAACGTCCTGACACCGAGCGCCGTCCCTCCATTGAACAAAAACGGGAACAGCGCCCGTGGTTTTTCTTTCTTTCTTTTCCCAGTCCTGTGCCCAGTGTCGTGCGAGGGAGTTTTGTTGTAAAATTCTTTTCCCTCTTGGTCCGACCTGCCTCTGGCCCGCCAGAACTGGTCAATTTGCGATGGACTCAGACCAGTTCTCGGACAGCGACGACGACGACTTCGTCGGCAAGAGCGCTGCCGCTTCGAACCCGCCGCCGGCGGAGGAGGATGACCCGCCGCCGGCGGAGGAGGATGACGGAGACGACGCGTTTGTCAAGCACATGGAGTCGGTGAAGGCTGCCGACCGGCCCCTGCAAATTCTTCTCAAGCACGTTGGCTGCAAGTGGCATCTCAAGCCACACCAATTTCTTGGCGTCCGCGCCGTCGCCGGTGTGCCGAGCGACTGGCCGGTGTCGTTTGACTCGGAGGGCAAGCCGGACACGCTGCCGGAGATGCCCGTGCAGCGCGGCATTGCGGAGGGCGACGACATGGGCCTTGGCAAGACAATAATGGCGCTCGCCGGAGGGGTTGCCGTGCGCGCCTACATTGAGGCCCGACTCGGCCGGCAGGCGAAGCCGGCCCTCGTCATCGCGCCCAACGCGGCGGTGGCGGCGCAGTGGCGGCTGGAGGCGCTGGGCATGCTCGAGGAGCGCGAGATCTGGTCGCACTCAGGCGAGAAGTTCGGCCAGGCCTTGCACAAGCGCTTCTCTCGGCCGGCCGGCGAGGACGAGGACGAGGACGAGGCGATGCGGCCGCGACTGGTCATCGTCACGCGCAGCCAGCTGCAGACCGAGATGTCGCATGCGTTCCGCTCACAGCGCGAGGCCGGCGGCTACAAGCCCTCGCCGCTCGCGCCGCACCTACTGCAAAAGACGGTGCTCGCGCTCCAGCAGAAGTACAACCACGCGAACGTCAAGGGCGGCAAGAAGGGCGGCGGCAAGAGCGCAGCAACGGGCGAGGACCGGATGTACGTGCGCGAGGACCACAAGGACGGCGACGACTCGACGCCCAGCGGCGGCGTGCTCGCCATCTGGCGCGAGGCGCAGAAGCGCTTCACGCGCGCGCAGCACATCTACTCGATCGTCCTCATCGACGAGGTGCACGAGCTCAAGAACCCGCACACCCTCGCGACGATGCTCGCCGTCGCCGCCGGCCTCCACGCGCCGCGCGTCATCTCGATCTCCGGCACCGGCTACAACAACCACCTGCAGGACATGGCCACGCTGCACCTGCTGATCGACCCGTCGTGGATTTACGCCGACCTGCACTTTTGGAAGGACATGATGGAGTCGCCGGACAAGGTCATCGGGCGGCAAGCGATCGAGGCGCAGCGCGCGCGGGCGGAGGGGCGGGCGGTGCCGCAGCCGTTGAGCCTGCGGCGGATCGAGGAGAAGCAGGCGGCGGACAAGGAGGCGTGGGAGCGCGACGTGCTCACGCGCCGCACCAAGGACAGCTGCGGCATCAAGCTGCCGCCGAAGAAGCACGTCGTGTACGAGCTCGCGTACAAGCCGCTGGAGCTCGGGATGAGCGTGACGCTCTCCCTGACGCTCGCGGCGCCGGCGCGACGCGGCCACTCCGTGCGCGTGGCGCTGTTGCAGACCATCGCGGGTGGTGGCGGCGAGGGCAGCGGCGGTGGCGGCGGCGAGGGCAGCGGCGGCGACGGCGGCGAGGGCAGCGGCGGCGATGGCGGCGGCGCAGGCGCCACCACGACCGCGGTGGAGCTCGGGGTGCTCACCGCCAACGACGACGCGCCACCCATCCAGCGCGAGATCGGGCTGCTGGGCGACGAGCACACGCTGCGCTTCGAGGTCTTTGACGCGCGAGGCGCCAAGGTGCACACGCAGACGACGAGCGTCGCGACCATCGCGAAGCACGCTTTCCAGCTAATGGAGAGCGAGCTGATGAACATGGCGGTGGAGGCCGCCAGGCAGAGCGCGGCGGCGAGCGCAAGCGCGGCGACGGTCGCCGCCGCCGACGAGGCCAAGGAGGCCAAGCAGCGCGTGCTCGAAAAGGCGGCGAAGACGTTCGTGCTGCTGGCGGCCGACGACGACCGCGGCGTGACCGTCTTGGCGGCCTTCTCGTGCGACGTCCTGCCGCACTCGTACCTGCAGCACGAGAAGGAGTTCCTCAAGATCCTGCCCCTGTACGACAACGCGCGCAAAAAGGCGTGCGCGCGTGGCGGCACCTTCGGCCAGCGCGCGGAGTCGAAGAAGATGGAGAACACTCTCTTCCAGATCCTGATGGCGAAGGTGACGAATATGCAGATGGCCCTCTCGCACCCGGTGCTCGTGGGCAAGGGGCGCGAGGCCTCGGTCCTCTTCGCCTCACGCGCCCAGCAGCCCAAGGCCAAGTTCTGCGCCATCTGCAAGCCCGAGGCGCGCGACGTGAGCACCGACAAGACCGACGCCGACCTCGACCCCAGCAAGGACAAGGACACGGACGACGAGGCGGAGGACGACGCCAAGGACGGCGGCCGCCGCGAAGAGCGTCGCTTCGACACGGACCAGAAGGCGTACACGCGCCAGGAGTTTATCGACGAGTACGGCGATGCGTGGCCTGAGCACTGGCGTCTGGCGCCCAAGGAGGACGACGACGACGAGGGCAGCGTCGCGGCTGGCGACGGCGACGGCGGCGCGGGTGGCAGCGAGGACAAGCGCGACGAGCCGCTCGTGCTGCTGCCGCCGCAGTGCTGCGCCAAGGCTTGGTGCGGCTGCACCGGCCACTACGCGCACTTGTCGTGCTTCAACGAGATGCAGGCGGCTGGGGACGCGATGGAGGACGATGGCGAGGAGGGCGGCGACGCGGCGGCGCGACCCTCCTGCCCGCGATGCCGCCACCTGCTCAGCGGCCTCGTTGTGCAGACGGGCGCGGCGTTCGACGCGTCGTGCTTCATCTCCAACGACATTAAGCTGTGGGACGACAAGACGCCGTCGGGCGGCTGGTACGTCACGCCGAAGCTCGCGAAGTTGCTCGAGCTCACCCGCGGCGTGGCGGCCGCCGACAAGCTGCTCGTCTTCTCCAAGTTCCTCGGCTGCCTCGACCTCGCCTCCAACCTGCTCGAGCGCGAGCAGTACCGCTGCGAGCGCTTCGACGGCGAGGTGAAGGACAAGACGAAGGCGCTCGACCGAGCACGCGAGCCTGAGGTCAAGGCGCTCCTCTCGACCATCCGCAGCGGCGGCGTTGGCCTCAACCTGCAGGAGTTCAACCACGTCGTCTTCGAGTCGCGCGACCTCAACCCTCAGAAGCACAAGCAGGCCGAGGACCGCGTGCACCGCCTCGGTACGTGATCGTCCGACGCGCCCGTTCACGCGTTCGCACTCGCTGTGCTAACCCACGCTTTCGGTCCTGTGCTTCGCAGGCCAGGAGAAGGATGTGACGGTCGTGTACCTCGACGCCAAGGACACGTTCGACGAGGCCGTCCGCGAGCTGATGAGGCGAAAGCTCGACAACGCGCAGGCGATCCTCGACGGCAAGCTGCTGCCCAAGGCGAGCCTGCCGTCCTACAAGGACGTCGTCGGCAAGATGGGCGAGGTGCTGCGCAAGGTGATCGCGCGCCGCGCGGGCCGGTCGGAGGACGCGCTCCTGCCGACGGCAGCGCCGAAGCGGCCGCTCGCCGGCGGCCTCGGCGGCCGCAGCAAGATGAAGAAGCGCGATGGCCCCGGGGGCGATGTGCGACCGACAACCTCGAAACCGAACACGGCGGCGCTGGCCAGCGATTACAATCGCTGGCAGGTGAAGGCGCCGCCGCCGAAGGCGCCGCCGCCGAAGGCGCCGCCGCCGAAGGCGCCGCCGCCGAAGGCGCCGCCGCCGAAGGCGCCGCCGCCGAAGGTGCCGCCGCCGCCCATCGGCAAAAGCCCGTCCGCGTCCGCGTCGGCGGCGTCGTCGTCGGCACCCCCGTCGGCGCGGCTGTCGGCGCCGTCCGAGGCGGTGAAGAACTCGCTGCCGCCGCACCGCCGCGTGAGCCGTCGGCTCAAAGACAAGGGCGTCGCCAAGGACCGCTTCACGCAGGCGCGGATCGAATCCGCTCTCGCCGCGACGGGTGGCGACGTGGACGAGGCGGTCGCGCAGCTGGTCGCGGAGGCCGCAGGCAAGGGCGGCGGCAGCGAGGTCTTCATCCTCTCGAGCTCCGACGAGGACTAGAGGACGAGGACACAAGAGGTGAGAGTACTACATACAGACATGCGAGTGCGCCGGGAGTGCGCTTTTGTGGTCAGGTCCCGTACTGTTGTCCCGATGTACAGATGTTACAAAATCACAGAAAAAAGAAAGAAAATAGACAACCCCGGGATGACAGGCCGGGCGGCGGCCGCAGGCCCGCGCAGCGCTGTAGCGCCGTTGCTGTTTTGCGCGTCCGGCTTCGCGCCCCGCGCCGCTTCAGCAGAAGTTGGACCAGCCGCTTGCGTCGTGTTCGGCGGCGATCGTTAGGAGCGTCCAGCTACTCGAATCGCCACGCACGCACGTCGCGTCAACCAGCCCATCCCCGCTGAGCCACGTCTATACCACGCCCACCTTGCCGTCCTCCGCCGCGGCTTGTAACTTTTCCGGCAGCGCGAGCGCAGCCTGTGACGCCGTTGAAGCGCGCCCGAACCGGGAGGCGGCTGAGCCAGCTTTTGGTCGGCCAGGTATGGCGCTGGCTCGTCGTTTGGGCCGCTTGCAGCAGGCCATCAACGCTGCCGCAGGCACCGCAACCCGCGAGCGTAGTCACCGCGCCCGTCGCCACCTCAACCCGCCGGATCTTGTCGTTGATGGATTCTGTCACAGACAGCGGCGCACTGCCGTCCGGGCTGATGGCGAGGCTGTGTGGGAAGTGGAATTGCACCGCATCGCCCACACCATGCGCCTCCCCTTTTTCGCCGCTGCCCGCGAGCGTAGTCACAGCACCAGTCGCCACCTCCGCCCGACGCATCTTGTGGTTAAACATGTCGGCCACAAGCAGCACGCTGCCGTCCGGGCTGATTGCGATGCCCCTCGGGCCGTCGAATCGCGCCCCATCGCCCACGCCGTCTGCATCACCATCTCTTCGCCGCTACCCGCTAAAGTCGTCACAGCACCCGTCACCACCGCCACCCACCGGATCTTGTGTTGCCGCAGTCTGTCACTATTGGGTGCTGCCATCCGGGCTGATGGCGACGCCGTGTGCTCCGTTGAAGTGCGCCGCTCCGCCCACGCCATCCGTGTCGCCTTCCTCGCCGCTACCCGCGAGCGTCGTGACCGCGCCAGTCGCCACCTCCACCCGACGGATCTTGGTCAGTCCGCCACAAACAGCGCGCTGCCATCCAGGCTAATGGTGATGCATTAGAAGCCTTCGTCCTGGAGGGTTGCTATGCTGCGTCGACCGCGCAGGTTGAGGGACGCCAGAGGTCCGTCTTTGCCCTCAAGCACGAGCGTGGTGACCTGGCCGACGGTGCGCGCGCGAAAGATGGGCGCCTCGAAGCCGGTCGCGACCGCCACGGGCTCTCCGCTCCGGTGCGGACGCGCTTGCCGGAGCGCGACGCCATGGCCATGGCAGGGTGAGACGACGCGCCGCAAAAGCCTGCATGCCGGAATATCCGGCGCCGTTCCGGCGCCACTTATTATGGGAAGAGGCAAAACATGCAGCACTCAGCCTTCCCTCCCCCTCCCGGATGGAAGTACTACCTGAGCTCGACCGTGCTTGACTTCGCTGTTCAGATGGGAAGCGGTAACCCACGGTGATATGGCCGCATGTGAGGGTGCGCGGGACCATCTCGGCTCAAGTAGGTAGGGAGGGTCGGGAAAGACACTCGCCCCAGCACCAGATAATAAACACCCCCAGAACATAACAGCAAGAGGAGAGAGAGAGAGAGAGAGAGAGAGAGAGAGAGAGAGAGAGAGAGAGAGAGAGAGAGAGAGAGAGAGAGAGAGAGAGAGAGAGAGAGAGAGAGAGAGAGAGAGAGAGAGAGAGAGAGGAGGAGATAAAAGAAGAAAAACGGCTCTTGAATGCACGCGCCCGCCGCGTTCAAACGTGCGGGCATATGGACGCAGTGCGGGCGGGCCCGGGGCGGACGGGCGGGCGGGGCTTTTTGCTCCAGAAGCGGACGTGGCGCGGCTGCGTCCGCCGGCTGCTCGTTGTCACGCACCTCGACATCGTGACGATCGCCGGCACGCGCGTAACAAACAGGCTGCCGCTCGCATCTCTCGTCGACGTCGTGCCAGGCGACACTGTAGAGGGCGAGCACTCCTTCACGCTGGTCTTTGAACGGCGCTCGCTCTGCGGTGTTGGCGAGCGCTCGCTCACCTTCGCGGCGCCGCGTGACGAGGCGAGCGCACTTATCAGCCTGCTCGACCAAGCACTGACTAGTCCGCCGGAAGCTGTCCCAGTGCAGCATTCCTGGCGTCACGATGGGTCTACGTGGCTCCCCGCAGCACCGCATGCAGCCGCGACGGTGCCTGTCAGCCTCGACGCGCATTGTCCACTGCTCGCAGCGGCGGCGTCAGAGGCGGCGGCAGAGGCGGCGGCAGGTCCAGAGGCGGCGGCAGGTCCAGAGGCGCGGCCAGCTTGCCCATCGCCTGCCCCTCTCACGGGCGCTGGCACCGAAGGCGCCGGCCCATTTGGCACGCCGACGCTCAAGGGCGAGCCCCGCGAGGCGCTCTCAACGCGTCCGCTCTCAGAGCTGCGGCGGCTTCAACGCGAGATTGCTGCGGCAAACGGCTCGGTCCTGGAGGAGGCGCTGCGGGCAGTGCGCCAGCTTCAATCGCCGGACACTTCGCTCAACATCGACGCCGTCCCACCCCTCGAGCTCGCCGACGTGGCGCTGCGCGCCGCGAAGCTGCTGCAGGGCAGCGAGGAGGAAGCACCGGAGGACCCTCCGCCGACGCCGTCGCCGATCCCGCCGATGCTGCCCGCCGACAGCCTAACGCCCCCGAGCCGCAGCGCGCCCCCGCCACCCGGCGCCTGCGGCTGTGATCTGATCTACGAGGGCTCAGCGCCACCGCCATTGTCGCCGATCGCGTCGCCGCACGATTCGGAGGCAGCGGCCGTGGCCACCACGGCACCACCGACAGAGCGGGAGCTTCGGTGCGAGCCGTGCGGCTGCGGCGACCCCGCGCTCTCCCACCTGGACGCATCGGCGGCAACCTTGCGCTGCGTCAGCCGCAGCGCGGTGCAGGAGCAGGCCGAGGAGCAGCCCATGGTCGAGTCCAAGGCGCCCGACCGGGGGATGCACCTCATGCTCGTGCGGCGGTTCCGGATCGAGTACGGGGCACACGACCTCGTCCTGCCAGCCGCGGCGGCGGAGTGGCCCGAGGCTCAGCTACGAGCCTTCTTTGAGGCCGGCGGCATAGCCTCCACCTACGACGACGGCGCCGCGCACGGCGACATTGCCCTCAACATGCTCCTCAGCAGCAACGAGCGCGCCTCCCTCGCGGAGCAGAGGCGCCAGACTCTCGACGCGGCGCTGCACGCGGTCCGGCTGGGCGACGAGCACGCCGCCGCCCACGCCCAGACTCAGGCCTTCTCGTCGGCTCCGACCGCAGAGGTGGCCGCTCCGGCCGCATCGGCCGCAGAGCTAGCGCAGGGCTCGCCAGAGACGCCTGCCGTGATGGAGGCGGTCGCGTCCGTGCGCGCCGCCGCCGCGCCGTTGCCACTGACCGCGCGGCAGGTCCACGCCCAGCTGGCGTCGCAGTCGGGAGACATCTCGGCGCCGCGGCTGTCCAAGGTTAAGAAGGCGTCGTCCAAGCTGCGCCGCCGCGAGGCCAAGATGGCGGCAGCACCGGTGCAGGCCGCCGGCGCCGACAGGGTCGAGGACAAGGAGAACGCGCTGGCCGCCCTCTAGGCTCCGCTCTGTAGCCGCACGATCAGCGTTCGGTGCATCAGAGAGAGAGAGAGAGCGCGGGGGTGCGGCCCGGCACACGCCCCGGCACACGTGTGTGCGTGTGTGGGCGCCACCCCGGCCCCATCGTGTGGGAGGCTCGAACCCTGGGAGAAGCAGGACAGATCGATCGTTGAGGACAGGAGTCAGGACACACCGTCGCACCGCGGGGGAAACAGACAGCGGTGACGTATACACACAGAAGACTGCGCGCGTGCCGTGTCCCCGTGTTTTGGGAGACTGTGGGTGTCCGGCACCGGGACAATGGATCCGCTCTTGGATGGACCCCGGATTGCACACGAGAAAGCAGACGATTGTAAGACAGTAAAACAAACATAAACAAAATCATGGAAGGTCCACACACACATGGGCTCGAACGACAGGGAATTAAACTACAATTACAGTCGGCAGTGTACGCTGTTCGACAGAGGACTCGGCGGGTGTCGATCGTACTCAAGAGGCCCGGAGGCGAGGGGATGTGTCGCAAGGACTGAAGGAGGGACGCCACCCCGCGCCCCCTCCGACGTACGCTAGGGGGGGAGGGGTACGCCAGGCGGCGACCTACGCGCCGCCGCGTCAGCCTGGGGGTTGGGCCAGGCGGGCCGCCGCAGCCAGCGTCGCGCGCGAGCTCAGCTGCCAAACTCGTCCCACGCCTTGATGTTGATTGGCTTGCGGCGGTGGATCGCCTCGGTGATGAGGGTCGCGAGCTTGATGTCGGTGAGCAAGCAGACCGACGAGTCGACCGCCGCGCGCCGGATGAGGAAGCCGTCCGTCTTGGAGTCGTCGTCGGCCTTGGAGTCGCGCACGTTGATGACGAGGTCCATCTCGCCGCTCTTGATCGCGTCCTCGATGTTGGGCTGCGTCTTGGAGAGCGGCTTGTGCATCAAGTGGACGTCGAGGCCGCGCGACTTGTAAAAGTCGTACGTGCCTTGCGAGCAGCTGACGCGGAGGCCCATCGAGATGAGGCAGCGCGCCTCGGGCAAGAAGGCCATCTTCGCCTCGAGCGGGCCGAGGCAGAGGAAGACGGACCGCTGCGGGATGCGGAAACCCGTCGAGATCATCGAGGTGAGGATCGCGTCGTAGGCGTCCTCGCCAAAGGTTGCGACCTCGCCCGTCGACGCCATCTCGACGCCGAGCACCGGGTCGGCGCCTACAGGGGAGTGCGCGCCGCGTCTCCTCGCACATGCAGCTCCCCACAAGACTCTCTCCGCGCGGCGGCGGCGGCGGCGGCGACGGCGGCGGCGGCGACGGCGGGGTGGGGGGGCGCGCCGACGAGCCGCGTGAAGGAGAACATGGGCGCCTTGATGCCGACGTACTCGTTGTCGAGCAGCGAGATGCGCATCGCGGGCGGGTTGCTGCCGACCATCACCTTGGTCGCGAGCTCGATGAAGTTGGCCTATTCGCACCCAGAGGCGGTAAGAGCGCCGCTCGCCACCGCCTTGGCCGCGGGACGGGTGTGATCCGGCCTTGAGCGTCTTGGACGAGAAGGGGAAGGTGCGCGACGCGCGCACGTTCGCCTCGATCACCTTGACCTCGTTATCCTTTGCGAGCAGCTGCAGGTTGAACGGGCCGCTGATCTTGAGCTCGGACGCGATCTGGCGCGAGATGCGCTTGACGCGGCGCACCTGCGGGCGGGAGATATGGGGAGATATGGGGAGATATGCCGCACCTGCGGGAGCAGCTCCGGGAAGCGGTCCGAGAGGGGCCGCTGGCGGAGGCTGCGGGTCGTGGGTCCGCGCCGTCTCGACGAAGAGCTTCTGCGCAGGCAGCACGAGCGTGGCGTCGCCTGAGTGGACGCCGGCGTTCTCGACGTGCTCGGCGATGGCGTAGTTGAGGACGGTGCCCTCGCACGCGACAGCGTCCACCTCGATCTCCTTGGCGCCCTCGATGAACTTGGAGATGACTACGGGGTGGTCGGGCGACACCTGCGGGGAAAGGTCAGGCGGGAGGCCGGCGTGGGATCAGGGCAACTAGGGAAGTGGGGTGTGTGTGTGAGGGGGGGGGGGGTGTTGGCGGTCGGGCGACACACGCCTCGCACGCGACGGCGAGGAAGCGCTCCAGGTCCGAGTCGGAGAAGACAACCTTCATCGCGGCGCCTAGAAGGTTCCTAGAAGGTTCCTAGAAGGTTCCTCGTACGTTCCTAGAAGACGGCCTTCATCTGCGGCGCCGGAGAGGACGTACGAGGGCCGGATGAGGCACGGGTAGCCCGCCGAGTTGCAAAAGGCCTTCGCGTCGGCGATGGAGGACATCTCACGCCAGTCGGGCTGGTCGACGCCGATCTGGTCGAGGATGGAGGAGAACTTGTTCCGGTCCTCCGCCTTGTCGATGTCGGACGGCTTGGTGCCGAGGATGTTTGCGCCCGCCGCCTCGAGCGGCAGCGCGAGGTTGTTTGGCGTCTGGCCGCCGACCGAGACGATGACGCCGAAGGCGGCCTCGTGCTCGTAGATGTCCATCACGCGCTCGGTCGAGATCTCCTCAAAGTAGAGCTCGTCGCACTCGTCGTAGTCGGTCGAGACCGTCTCGGGGTTGAAGTTGACCATGATGGCGCGGTGGCCGAGCTTGCGCAGCGTGCGGATGCACGAGACGGCGCACCAGTCGAACTCGACCGACGAGCCGATCCGGTACGCGCCGCAGCCGAGCACCATCGTCGAGGGCGCCTCGTGGTTGAGGCGGAAGACGCCGCTCTTGCGCACGGGCTGGTCGGACATGGTGCCGTTGTACGTCATGTAGAGGTAGTTGGTCTGCGCGGGGAACTCGGCGGCGAGCGTGTCGATCTGCTTGACGACGGGCAGCACGCCGAGCTCCTTGCGGTGCCGCCGCACCGCCACGTCGTCCGCGCCGCCGAGCGCGATTGCGATCTGCTTGTCCGAGAAGCCCTGCTGCTTTGCCAGCAGCATCTCCTCCGCCGTGATGGTCTGGAGGGTGCGCTTCTGCAGGTGCTTGCGCAGCAGGTGGATGGTGTGCAGCTTGCACAGGAACCACGGGTTGATCTTGGTCGCCGCCTCGATGGACGCGACCGAGTCGCCGCGCTCAAAGGCGGCGGCGAGCGCGTCGACGCGCTGGTCCGTCGCGTTGGAGAGGACCGCGTTGATCGCCTCGTCCGACTCGAAGGTGGTGAGCGGCTGGAAGCCCAGCATGCCGGGCGCCGCCATCCGGATCGCCTTTTGCATCGCCTCCTGGAAGTTGCGCCCGATCGACATGACCTCGCCCACCGACTTCATCGCCGAGCCGAGGCCGGCCGAGACGCCCTTGAACTTGTTGAGGTCCCAGCGCGGGAACTTGACGACGCAGTAGTCCATCGACGGCTCGAAGCAGGCGGTCGTGGTCTTGGTCACCGAGTTGCGCACCGAGGGCAAGTTCTCGCCCATCGCGAGCCGTGCGGCCACGTAGGCGAGCGGGTAGCCCGTCGCCTTGGAGGCGAGCGCGGAGGAGCGCGACAGGCGCGCGTTCACCTCGATGATGCAGTACTCCTCCGATTGCGGGTTGAGCGCGTACTGGATGTTGCACTCGCCGACGATGCCGAGGTGGCGCGCCACTTTGATGGCGACCGAGCGCAGCTTCATGTACTCCGCGTTGGAGAGCGTCTGCGACGGCGCGACCACGATCGAGTGTCCGTGTGGATGCCGAGCGGGTCGAAGTTCTCCATGTTGCATACGGTGATGCAGTTGTCGTTGCAGTCGCGCACAACCTCGTACTCGATCTCCTTCCACCCCTTCATCGACCGCTCGACGAGCACCTGCGGCGAGTTGATGAGCGCCTGCGTCGCCAGCGCGCGCGCGCTCTCCTCGTCGTGCGCGAAGCCGGAGCCGAGCCCACCTATGGGGAGGCTCTGAGGCGGTCCGGCGAGCGGTCGAGAGGGGGTGCGAGAAGCCGGAGCAGGGGCCCGCCGAGCGCAAAGGCGGCGCGCATGATGACCGGGAAGCCAATCTTTGCCGCCATCGCGACGGCGTCGTCGACGGTGGACGCCGGGTACCCCTCCGCGATGCGCTCGTTGATCTCGGTCAGCTTGGCGTTGAAGATCTCGCGGTCCTCCGTCGCGATGATCGCCTCGACGGGCGTGCCGAGCACGCGCACGCCAAACTCGGCGAGGACGCCGTTCTTGTCGAGGGCAACGCCGCAGTTGAGGGCCGTCTGGCCGCCGAACTGGAGCAGGATGCCGTCGGGCCGCTCCCTGCCCGGGGAGGGAGGGAGGGGGGAGGGGGGGGGGCTGAGAGGCTGCGCGCGCGGTTGGACGGCGACGGGCGACAGGCCTCTGCGGTGGGATCTCCTCAAGGGGGGGAGGGGGGGGTTCGATGTCTCGGGTCAATTGGAGTGGTTGTCCGCAGGGTGCGTCAGCTGAAGAAATTCACGAGTGGTTGGATCGTCATCGACATCGAAAGGGGGAGGAGGAGAGGGGGGGGGGGGGGGGGGGGGCTGCATCGGGTCTTGGGGTTGATCACACGGCCCTGGGGTCTAATCCAGCTTCGGTAACACGGACCAAGTGAAGTTCGTCACGCGCAGCCGCGCCGCAGGGGAGAGAGGGGAGGGACTGGGCCGGGGCGGGGGTGGCAGAGGGTGGCCGGCGGGGGGGGAGAGGGGCGGCCGCCTCTCGATGACGGAGCGCACGACATCGGGCGTGACGGGCAGGAAGTAGACCCGGTCGGCCATCCCCTCGGACGTCTGGACGGTGGCGATGTTCGGGTTGATGAGCACGACCTCGCACCGCATCTCCTTGAGCGCCTTGATGGCCTGCGAGCCCGAGTAGTCGAACTCGCCCGCCTGGCCGAGGGGAGGGAGGCTGAGGCCGAGCTCACATTCTCGGCCGCGTCTCGGCTGCATCTCGGCCGCGTCTCGGCTGCATCTCGGCCGCGTCTCGGCTGCATCTCGCTGGCATCTCGGCTGCATCTCGCTGGCATCTCGGGCGGATCCCGGCTGCCTCGCGCCTGGCCGATGGAGAGCCCGCCCGAGCCGAGCAGCAGCACCTTGCGCGCGGGGATGGTCGGCTGGCGGTACGAGACGGTCACCTGTTCACAGCAACAGGTGTGAAGAGACGCTGTTCACAGCTGGTCGGCTGGCGGTACGAGAAGATCACCTCGGCGTGCTCGCCGTGCACGCGCCGCAGGAACATCTCGAAGAGGAAGTCGGTGTCGGTGGGTCCGGCACACGCCTCGGGGTGGAACTGGACCGAGAAGAAGGGGCGCGTCTTGTGGATGATGCCCTCGTTGGTCGCGTCGTTCGCGTTGACGAAGAACTGCTCCCAGCCTTGCGGGATGGAGGCCGGGTCCACCGCGAAGCCGTGGTTTTGCGCGGTGATGTAGCAGCGGCCCGTCCGCGTGTCGATGCAGGGCTGGTTGGCGCCGCGGTTGCCGTACTTCATCTTGAACGTTGTGCAGCCGGCGGCGAGGGCGAGCAGCTGGTTGCCGAGGCAGATGCCTGCAAGGGGAACCGGGCGAGGTCGAGAAGCGGCGCGCCCTGGCGCTCCCCCCCCCCCCCCACCACCCCGGGTTGCTGCTGTCTTAAACAGCACCGTGAATCGGCCACACCTCGGCCACACATCTCCGCCAAAGCCCCCGGCCGGATCTCTGCCGCATCTCGGCTAGCTCTCGCCAAAGACGGGCGGCGCGTCCGCCCGCTCGATCAGAGCGCGCAGGTAGCCGATCGTCTTTTGGCACTGGGTGGGGTCTCCGGGACCGTTAGAGATGAAGAGACCGTCGAACGCCTGCTCACAGCGTCGGGAGTGACGCCGCCACCGCCCGCCGCGTGGCGTCGGAGGGGGAGAGGCGCGTCGACTGCCTCGCCGCTGAAGTCGTAGTCCCACGGCACGAGCAGCAGCTCGACGCCCTTGGACATGAAGTAGCGGATGATGTTCGCCTTGATGCCGCAGTCGATGGCGAGGATGCGCATGCGCTTGCCGTCCTTGCCCTGCCGCGGCGGCGCGTGCGAGACGAAGAGGCGCGGCTCTTTGAGCGAGACCTCGGCGACGAGGTTGAGGTCGTTCGGGTTCACCTGGCGGCGCAGGCCGGCGAGCGGCGGGGTGGGGCAGCGGAGGGAGAGGGAGGCGGGGTGAAGGGGCGAGAGGAGAGGCGGGCTCAGGAGCGATCGGCGACAGGGAGGAGAGAGGGGGGCGGCAGGGCGAGGAGAGGCAGCCGCGCGCGAGAGAGAGAGGCAGCCCGGGAGAGGCGGCCGGGCAGTGGAGCGGGCAGTGGGAGCGGGCAGAGGGGGAGCGGGAGCCGCAGGGGAGCGGGCTGCACCTGCGGCACAGACGACTCGGCGGCGCCCGCGGGCACAATCTTGCCGAGCATGGCGCCCTGCTCGCGGATGTGCTTGGTGAGGGCGCGCGTGTCGATGCCGTAGATGCCCGGCACGTTGTGCTGCTTGAGCCAGTCGGAGAGCGTGTGGGTGAGGTTCCAGTGGCAGGCGTCGTGCGAGTACTCCGCGACAATCAGCGCGGTGGCGTGGATCTTCTCTGACTCGAAGAAGGTTGGGAGGCCGATGTCGTCCCTGCTGTCCAGGTCCGGCACGCCGTAGTTCCCGATCATCGGGTAGGTCAGGCAAAGCAGCTGCGCGCACACCGCACGGGCAGCCACAGGTCAGCAGCCCGCGCCCCTCGCCGCCAGCGGACGGTGCGCGACGGTTGCGGGGGCCCCGGCAGCGCGGCGGACGGAGCAGGCCCGGGCGTGGCGCCGAGGCAGGGCCCAGGAGAGACCCCGCCGTCCCTCCCCTCCGCCGGGGCCCCCCCCCCCCCCCCGCCTCTTCCCCCTCAGCAATCGACAGCCCCTCTCGGGCGGCGGCGGCTCTTCTCTCCGGTCGGCAATGGCTGCAGCCTCTGGGGCGGGTGGCGTCGCGCGCGGAGGCGGAAGGGCGGAGCGGGCGCACGCCTGGCCGCGGTACGACGGGTCGGTCAGCGACTCCGGGTAGCCGACCATCGCCGTGTTGAAGACCACCTCTCCCGCGACGCCGACCTTAGCGCCAAACGCGACGCCCTCCCAGCGGGTGCCGTCGGCGAGGATGAGGGTGGCGCGCTGCTGCTCGAGCTCGCTCGTGATGTCCGTCTTTGCCCGCTTCGCCGCCAGCACCTTGCGCGGCGGCAGCATCTGCGGGCTGCCGCCGTCGAACGAGGGCCGCTTGCAGCCGAGCTTGTTGCCGTGCAGCACGGGAGAGGAGAGGCTCTGGTTGCTGCCGGGCGTGCCCGGCAAGAGGCTGTTCCGGCTGCTCGGCGAAAGGGGCGTGGCGTCGCCCTTGCCGCGCGACGGCGGAGGCCGAGTCGCCATCAAGAGCTGCACAGTTGCCCCAACAACGCCCACGAGTCACCTCCCGCTCGTTTTCGCCCGCGTCCACGTCTCGCGGTTCGCTCCAAATCTCACTCGGCTACCGAGTGTGTGTGTGTGTGTGTGTGTGAGAGAGAGAGAGAGAGAGATTTTTAAAGACCAACAAGAAATCACGACTCTCACAGTGATTTGGGCTCGGCAGCTTGTTAGCCCTCAGCCGAAGCTGGGGCCGGTCCCGTAGCCGAGAGAGCCCTTCTTGTGTGTGTGTGTACGCTACCGAGTACCTCGAAAAGCGGACACAAAGGAAACGCCCTGGCGACGGAGGTACTCCCACGCCTCGAGAGGTTTTTGTCTGGGGCGAGCCTCGGCGAGACTGCGTCAGCTGTTCCCACAGGCTGGAGTAGGTAGGTAGTACTCGCCGGGGGGGGGGGGGGGGAAGCGGCGGCGCGAAACTAGTAATCAAAATTCATGGTGGCGGCGGCGGCGGCGGCGCTTCTCCCTATGCTGGCTCTCGTGCCGTCCGGTCCCTACCACGCCCGAGCCAGCGCGCTTCGGTCCACCTCTGCTAAACTGGGCTTCTCGTGGGTTCCGCCTCGCGACTCGAATGCGCTCACCGAGGAGCAGGCTCAAGCCAATCGTGCGGCCGCGGCGGCTGCCGCCGGAATCGATGGCTACCTCATGCCGGGCGAGGAGAGCACCGTCGGGAACTCTCCCATCATCACCGAAGTGTGGACATTTGGCGTAGACCAGCCGGGAGCTCGCGAGCCGCCGCCCTCGCACACGCGGGACAAGCAGGACCAGGAGGCTAGCATCTTCGAGAAGGTGAAGAGCGTTCTACCGCTCTCGCTGATCTTTGGTGAACAGAGCTAGCAAAAGCCGCGGCGTGGCTGGTCATGAAGTAAGTCGTTGCCGCGGAGACGTGAGGGGCCGGGTCCGAGAGGGGTCGTGCGGGCTAGCCTGCGCGACCGAGACGCTCGTCGTCGTGGGTTCGTAGTCAGATTCTCGGCCTATTTTTTGCTACTGCAGCTAAACGTTGTATGCGAGTATGGCAGCCTAACAAACACGCGGGCGGCGCACGAGGTAGGAACGCCGCCGCACAGTGTGTGCAAAAACGGTCCCCCAAAGTGTCGCGTCGGGCGCGCATCTCCCTCCGGGCCACAGACTGGTGCACAGAAACACGCGTGTGGGAGCCCGGCCGGCGTCCTGGCGGCGAACCCGGACGCGCCGCGTCAGCGCAGCGCGGCCCGCACGCCGCCCTCCGCCCTCTCGCCGCTCCGGCTCGCAGCCGCCTTGGTCCCCTGCCACTCTCCTTGCGCGCGCGACGATTGCGCTCACTTGCCATTCTGCTTCTGGATCCAGGCGGCGACGTGCAGGCCCCACGAGTAGGGGACGAGGAGGGCGCCTTGAAGGGAGGGGGGGGGGTGAGGAGCGCGAAGGGGTTTGAGGGGAGGGGGGGGCAGTGAACACGAGCGGAAGAAGAGCAGGAGAAACGGAGGCGCGCCGGCGACGTAGAAGCCGTTGACGGTGGAGCCGGAGAGGATGTTGACGAGGTTCGACTGCCGGGGGCGGTGGCGGTCGGAAAGCGGAGAGGGAGCGGGAGAGGGTGGGGGAGGCGAGGGCCGACCTGCGCCACACAGTACACGCCAATCGCAAAGGCGAGGCCGGAGGTGACGCCGAAGATGGAGGAGGGGACGTCCTTGCCGATGCCGAGCACGATCGAGGGCGGGTAGTCCTTGTCCCCCCACCACGTGTCCGCAGCCTCTGACCGGTCCACCATGACAGCTCCAGCCTGCGCAGCGGGAGAGAGCGGCAAACGCGCTGCGTCAACCAGCCTTCCTCGGCAAGAAAGGGGGCGAGCAGCGGCCGACGGGCAGCGGCCGAAGCGGCAGCGGTACCGCCCATCGTCCGCGCGGCGCGGGGTCGGTGCTCTCGCTTCGGGAGAGGGGGGGGCTGCCGCACCGCCGCAGGCGCCGCCGCCACCGAGCGCTGCATCACCGCGGGGCGCAGCGCCGCCGGCGCGAAGGCCGCGGCGGAGCCGAGCAGGCAAAGAAAGGCGAGGGCACCCTTCATGATTCTGTGCGCGACGGGGAGTCGTGAGCCTCTGCCGGGGGGATGCACAGGGTGGCGGCGTGCCGGCGGGAGGACGAGCGCGGCGGCGGCGGCGGCAGCAGGCACGCCGCCGCGGGTGACGGCGGAGGGTGGACAAGACTGTGTGTGTGTGTGCGGGTGTGCGGACGGCACGCTAAATGAGCCGCGCGTCGGCGGCCATGCGGAGGCTGGGCAGCGGCGTCGGATGAGGCACCTCAACCTTATTTAGTAGGGGAAAAGAATTCACGGTGGATGAAGCTGCGCAGGAAAATTTTTTCTTCTTCTTTCCCCTGTCGGTTCTGCTACATGCAGTTGCCTTTCGCCATGCTCCTCCTCGCGCGCGCCTCCTCGGCGCTGACGCTGCACGCGCGGGGCGGCATCGCCGCTCCCCGCTGCGCCGTCCGCCTCGGCCGCGCCCTGCTGTGCGACGCGGCCGCGCCCGCGGCGTCCGCCACCGCCGCGGCCGACGCGCCGCCGCCGGAGCCTGCCTTTCCAAAATTGGATGTGCGGGTGGGGAAGATCGTTGAGGCGTGGCCGCACCCGGACTCGGAGAAGCTCTGGTGCGAGCGCATCGACGTGGGCGAGGAGGCGCCGCGCGAAATCGCCTCTGGCATCCGCGCCTATTACGCCGAGCCGTCGGACCTCGAGGGCCGCTCGGTGCTGGTCGTGTGCAACCTGAAGCCGGCCAAGCTCGGGGGCTTCCCCTCGAACGGGATGGTGCTGTGCGGCACCTCCGCCGACGGCTCCGTCGTCGAGTTCGTCGAGCCGCCCGCCGAGTCGCCGCCTGGCGAGCGGGTGCGTGTCGATGGCGCCACGATGCCAGACCCCGCCTCGCCGAACCAAGTCAAGAAGAAGAAGCTGCTCGAGACGGCGACTGCCGACCTGCGCGCCGCGGACGGCGTCGCGACCTACCAGGGCGCGCCGCTCGTCACCGACGCCGGCCCCTGCCGCCTCCCTACTATCGGGTCGGGCACCATCAGCTAAGAGCCGTATAGCGACGCCGGCCAAGGGACACATCGCCTCTAGCCGACACTCCGTTTGCCTAGTTTACCATAATGACAGGTACTCTTTTCTTCGTTCACCCGCGCCCACAAAAGTGGTCGTGCCCGTGGGCCGTGCGCCGCGCCCGCGGCCCGCGCCGCCGCCCGGCGCACACGCGGACCCGGGAGAGCGGTCGAGAAGAGATCTGAGATGCCGCCCGCACACGACATATGTACGCCTCCCTCACATCGCCGCACAGCATTGTCATACGTCACCATACATCAGCATAACATACAGAACTCTGTATGGCCGGGAGCACCCACACACTAGGGACCTCTCAGAGCATATGTGTGGTCAACACACGCCGCCGGGGCGCGCGCGCCCGCGCGGCTTCGACAGCGCGCGGATATACACACGGCTAGCCAGACACACCGCGGGGTTGCACATTGCACCCTTCACCCTAGAGCTGAACACATATCACACCGTGGAGCGTGGTCACCGCCGGCCCGCGGCCACAGCAAAATCGCGCTCTACATCGCTCTACAACGCACGCAGTTCGTCCCGCGCCCGATGTAGAGCTCTACAGCTCTACAGCGCTCCAGAGCGCTCTACAGCTCTACAGCTCTACAGCGCTCTACACTCTACATCCTCTACACCCTCCCTCAGAGGGGCGGCCCCAGCACTTTGCGTTTCCGGAAATTTCGAGGGAAAACAGAGGGTGTTTGGTGCTCCATTCTGGAAACTCGCGAGTTTCCCTGAGAGCTGAGTCTGAGAGCTGGTCTGGGGCAAAATCTGAGGCAAAATTGAGGAAATCGGCACGATACCCAGGCGGTCGCAGGGTATTTTCCAGGTATACCCGGGGTTTTCCAGGTATACCCGCAAAATACCCGGTATTTTGCCGATTGCACCCCACTCAGTACTCCATACCCGCCAACCCGGCTGTGAGAGAGGGTGTTTACGTTGTACGCATGAGAGAGGGTGTTCGGTGTTTACGTTGTACGTGTCATGGATCCAAAAATAAGGTTCTGGCGCTGGAGCGCCGGGCTTTGTGACGAACGGGGCCTGCATCGCCAAGAACTAACTGCAGCCGCAGCCTGTCCCATTTCCGAGATCATCTAGCAAGGGATTAAGGCAAGAGCCTGTTCACTCCTCCTGAGTCCTGGCTGCTGCAGATCATGCAGCTCAGCTCTTCCGACATGCCGGCCTGGCCGGGCTCCGGCGGCGACGGAGGGGGCGACATGTGGGCGACGCGCGCCAGGCGACACCCGCAACGCGTCCCTGTTGCAGTGTCCCCGCCGGCGCACCTACCAACAGATAGAGTCGGCAGTGGCAACCAGGAAAGCTGGGGCGAGGAGGGCGCCAATCGGCAGCCCACCCTCCACGCCGTGGGTGGGCGAGAGAGCGCTTGGTACGAGGCCCGCGAACTCCGTCGCTCCGGGGCGGGTGGCAGCGGCGGCGAGCCACCACATGCACAACAGCTGCATGCCTTGCTCATTTAGGTGCTTGTGGTCCTTTTCTTTTGTGCTCGGCGTCTTGTGTCGGTTTATGTCGGTTTCTGTACCCCCTGGCGGCCCCCTGGCGGCCGCCGAGATGAGCATCTGTGAGCTTCCAAAGGCCGGCCTCAACCTGCTCGTGTCCGGCTGTGACGCTTTCGAAAACTGCAACGTCAGCCAGTCCTGGTCAGCTCAACTTCCGTCGCTTCCACCATCCACGCAGCAGCAGCTCCGCTTTGCTCCGGCGGGCGCGCCTGCCTCGAATGCGAGCTTCATCACGTTCGGCGCTCTGCTCTCGCTCGCGCCCATCGGCTCGGCGTACTACGGCTACAGCCGCGGCATGAAAGGCAGCCTTGAGCTATTTGAACGACTGGTTCAGGAACGGGGCGGTCTGCTGGTCAATGGCACACGGCGCCCGTTCCGCTTTGCCATCGTATCCGACGAGAGTCGTCTGGACCTGACCACCAACGCCACGGCGCACGCGATCCGCGGGCTAGGCGCCGACTTCATGCTCGGGGGCTTTTCGTCTGGCTTCACCAACTACGCAGCGCGCCAGTGCGGTCCCGCTCTTCGTCCCATCCACTCCTTCTGCTCGCCCATCCACTCCTTCTCCGCACCGCCCCCCTCCTCCTCAGGTCGTACGCCGACAAGACCATTATGCTCGCCACCACCGCCGCAACGCCGTCGGTGATCTCGCAGAACAACCTCACCTTCGGCGTGCTGCCCCCCTCGCCCCGGTACATCAAGACCGCCGTCGAGGCCATTGTCGACGCCGCAGACGCCTGCGACAGCCGCCTCGACCGCTGCTGGCGGGGAATGCCGCCTCGCTGCCGCGGGGCGACTTGCCGGGAGAGCCTCACGGCGGGCTTCATCGCGGCCCGCACCAAGTTCACCTCCGTCATGTGCTCCCTCGGCGCTGGCGTCACGCAGGTGTCCTATCTCCGCGCTGCCATCGCGCACAATCTCGCCCCCCAAAACCACACCCCCCACAAAACACCCCCCACAGCCCACTCTAACCCCCCCCCCCCCTCCCCCCCGCAGGAGGCCGGCGTGCCCGTGGCTCTCAACTCGAGTGGCCTCCCGCTCATCACAACCGTCGCGCCCGCCTTCTCGGTCGACCGCCCCGCGCAAGGCGGCGCCGTGAAGAGCGCTGATCAGACAGGCCCGCGGCCGTGCACAGGTCGGCATCAGCCAGGAGTACATCGACGACATCAAGGAGGCGCTGCAGCCGCTCCGAGACGAGGGCGTGACGCTGCTGGTCGGGTGCACGTACCTCGGCACCGGCAAAGGGCTGATGCTCGCACTGCAGCAGCTCGGCTGGGCGCCCCTCGCCGTGGTGAGAGGGACGCGGTGGGGCTGGGGGGACGGGAGAAGAAGCCTCTCCACGCAGGTCCCCGCTGTGGACAGGTGACCACCGCCACGCTGAGTGAGGGCAGGATCCACGCGGAGCTCCGCTCGACGGCTCCTCTCGCGCTGTCGTGGGCGGCCGAGTACACCGTCGAGCCGATGGTGTGGCACATGCCCCCCCAGATGCGGAGTTTTCTGGCACATCGACACTAGCACTTGAGGCTCTTCAGCTGTCTCTCGAGCTGCACCCCGTCGCCTCCCACGCTGTGCTGCATGTGCCTCTCTCTTCCCAACCTCAGAGTGCGATGCACGAGACTGCACTCACACTCAGCCTACGGGGCCGAGCATGGCACTCAGGCACCCCTCTCTCTCGGGGCGTGGCACTTGGTCCAATCTCACCTCGATCGAGTTCACGCGGCAGTTCCAGCGGGCGAACGGAGGTGAGCTCGTCTCCTACATCGGCGCGGCGGCTTTTGCGGCAAGCTGTTCTCCACAACCCTTCTCTGGACGCTCTAGGAACCTCCACATGTAGGCGCGGCGGGGCCTTTGCGGCGAGCTGTTCTCCACAACCCTTCTCTGGACGCTCTAGGAACCTCCATGTAGGCGCGGCGGCCTTTGCGGCGAGCTGTTCTCTCGCAGACGCCATCGAGCGCGCGGGCTCGCTCGAGACGGACGAGGTGGCCGCCGCCCTCAATTCGGTGAGCTTCTCGCGAGCACCGGCCGGTCCGTGGGTGAAGGGGGGGGGGGGGTTGAGCAGGCGGCCCGTCTCACGCCGATAGGCGACGCTGTTTGAGTTCTTTTCGAACCTGACGTACAACAAAGACGGGCAGGCGGGGGAGGGGACGGCGATGGGTGGTGTGCGCTGTGACCAGCGTTTCTTCACGCCTCTTTTGCGTGAGGCAGGCGGACGAGGACATGATGGTCCTCCAGTTCCAGCCCGGCAGGGTGGACGAGACCGTCGTCGCCGGCGTGGCCAACGGCCGGACAGTCGAAAACTTGCCGATCGATCTTCGGCACGCGAGTGGGGGAGGCGAGCCGTCGCTGGGCCCGATGCTCTTCCCGCAGCCAACTTGGGAGCAACGGGCGTGCGAGCGGCGGCTGCACCCCGGGGTCCTCAAGGCGGGCGAAAATATCGAGGAGCGTCCGTGCTGGGGGGGGGGGGGGGGGCGAGTCCGGCACTTTCTCGGAACCTTCTCGGAACTTCCCTGTAGGAGATCCAGTGCTCGGGCCACGGCCACTGCGATATGGACGGCGCGGCGCATGCGTCCTCGCAGGGGCACGTCCACACAGTCTCATCCGGTTGACGGGACGCTTGTGTTCGCATAAGGCGTGTGCGTCTGCACGGGCGGGTACCGCGGCGTCGATTGCGAGGACGAGCCCGAGGAAGAGGACAGGCACGCGCGCAGATTGATCCTCACCACCGTCCTCCCGGCGGCGTGCGTCGTCGCCCTCTTGGCACCCCGCCTCGCGGCGACACTCCCTCCGAGGGCCCGAGGGGCGCTTCCTCGACGCGTCCCGGTGTCTGCAGGCGCTCGCTCTCTTCTTCCTCAACCGCAGAGCGCGCCGCCGCGCCGCCAAGCTGGACGCGCTGGAGTCGGCCTACGCGCGCTGCATGCCCGCGACGCGCCGCAGCGACAGGGCGACTCGCCGCTCGGTCGTGATTGCCGACTCGGTTGTGCGGGTGACGAACCTGCAAGCGACGGCCGAGAGCGCGGCGGACACCATCGTCGAGGCGCCGCCGCTCGCCACGGCGGACGAGCGCCACGTCTTTCTGTCGCATGTCTGGAGCTCAGGGCAGGCGAGCACGCCCACCCTCCCGCCCTCCAAGCCGCCCTGACGCATGACGCTCGCCCGCCGCGCCCTGTTTCTGCTGTGGCTGCAGGACCAGGCGCGGGCAATCAAGAGCGCGCTCCTCGAACGCGTGAAGGGCATCCGCGTCTTCCTCGACGTTGACGACCTCGCCGACACCTCGAGGCGCAACCCTGCCCGCGCATCTTTGCCCGCGCAACCCTGGCCGCGCTACCCCTTTCGCTCTCACTGGGTGCATTCCCCCCTAGGCTCGAGGAGCACGTTAGGAATTGCTCTGTGGTGCTCGTCTTCCTCTCGGGATCGAGCGACCTCGTTGGCGCTCCCGTCTCCGACTACATGCGCGCTCGATCTGCGGACACTTCGAAGGCGCACCCAGAGTGCCGGCCTGACTCGCTTGTTGCTTCATTAGGCGCTCGCCGAACTGCTTGCGCGAGCTCCGCGCCGCGATCGAGCTGGAGAAGCCGATCATAGTCGTCACCGAGACGGACATGAGGCACGGCGGAGTGCCTCTCGCTACGCATGCGCGCCAGGCGCCTGAAGGGTTTAGGCCGCTGCTCGACGGCACGCACCGCCGCCTGGTCGTGCGATGGCATCGCGTCGGCGCCTTCCGGCTGATGTCGGTGCTCCAGATCATCGAGCAGTTTCTGGAGGTCGGCCGGTCCGGAGCGGAGGGGGAGGAGGTCTCGCCCGCCGTCTACCTGCCGGACAGGCTCCTGCTGGCACGCTCGCCCCTCCCAGCCGGGCCAACTCTCGACATGCCGCCGCTCAGCGCGGGCGAGTACCACGTCTACGTCTCACGCGAGAACGCCGGCGCCCCGGACCTCGTGGCGCTCTTGCAGAGCCATCTCAACAGCGGCGGCACGGGAGAGGGCGGCATCGCCTCCGCCGCCCCGCGAGGCCTCGGAGCGCCGGCTGCTCTGCGTGTGACGGACGACCCCCGTCAGATGCTTCGAGCCACGCACTTCCTCCTGCTGCTCGGCTCACGGACGACCACGCCCGCTCTCTTCGGTGAGCTCCGGACGGCGCTCGCGAACCACCCCAGGCTGAGCATTGTGCTCGCCCACGAGCAGCGGGAGGGGCCGGCGGCCGCCGCATTCGACCAGGTCATTGCGGGCACGCCCAGCGACCTCACGCAGGCGGGCATCTTCCACGACCTCGCCGTGCCGATCCTCGACGCACCACACCTCAAGGCGAGCGAGCCTCGCCCTCGTTAATGGTAGCAGTCGCCCCATGTCGCGCGTCCGGCTTCTACCGCCGTCCACTTCTCCCCGTCAGGTGAGCTTGCGGCTCCTCCTCCACAAGCTGGTAAGTGTTCCGAGCGTCGCCCACACAGCAAGCCGCTTCGGCGAGCTGTCCATGCTGTCGAGGGTGGACAGTGGGGTCGGCAGCTCAACGAGCCTGCTGCGGCGTGCCTACTACCGCACGGCGAGCGAGCACTCCGCCAGCATCTTTGGCTGATTTTGGGCCCAAACCAGCCTCAGACTCGGCTCAGAGCCCGGAAAATTTGATGGTTTCCCCGGGAAAATAGAGAGGAAAAGAGAGGGTGCTGTAAAGAAAAAAGGAAAGGAAAAGAGACGGGGTGCGAGAGGAAAAGCTTGTTCAGCCTAACGCCTACCCCTACGCTGCGCCGCCCAAGCCCTACATGTACTGCCGATCCAGCGCCCGGCGTTTTGGGGCGAGCCGCGGTCGTCGTCGCTGAAGGTAGCCGGCGGCGGCTCGCCCTTCCCTCCGTCCGGCGGCGCTCCCGATCCCGCCGCGCTCGCGAGAGGTGGCGCATGATACGCACCTTCTTTCTCCTCAACGGCTATCCGTGCTTGCTTGCTGTGTGCCCCTGCCTGCGTGGTGTGTTTCAAGTTCTATCTAGGGAGGGAGAAAAGCAGAAAATTCACGCATTTTCCACGCATGGAGGCTTGGTTTCTTGAGAGAGAGAGGTTTCTGGCGTTTAAATTCTTTGCCAGTCCGCGCCAGTCTGCGCCCTTGTCGTGCCAGTGTGCTGTGAGAGAGGCTTGTATCTTAAGAATTCTTTGCGGGCCGAACCTTCACGCTTGCTTGGGCCTCCGACCACGCTGCCACACCTACTATCCTTCAGCAGTACTTCTACAGCCACCTGTACCATGGACTCGCCTGCGGAGCGCATGGTTAGCCGCGTGCACCTGCAAATAGCGGTTCGCAAAGCCCCTGCGGCTCGCTGTTCAAATTCGCTCGTGATTTGGGAGGATCCACGTCTGGAGCGTCTGGCTTTCCGCTTCCCTTCGATCGCAGCGCTTCTCGACGAGTGCTCCCTCGCTGCGTACGCAACCGATCTCGAGGACGAGGGCTACAGCGTCCGCGGCCTGGGCGAACTCGCCTTTGCCAGCCCCAACGAGCTGAGGCACGCCTTGGTGGACGGGGTTGGCCTAGCGCCTCGGGAGTGGGAGCAGCTCCTTCGCACGCTTCTCGACGCGGGCGAAAGCCGGCAGCGTGCTGAGGCCGCGGCGCAGGGAGGAGCGAGCGGCGGCGGTCCGGCTCTCTCCGCGCAGCAGACACCGCTCTGCAGCGCTCGCCTCCGACTGGTGTTGAGGGAGGCGGAGCCGTTCGAGGTGGCAGGGAGGGAGGCCTTGGAGGAGGAGTGTGCGGAGGAGGAGGGCGGGCTGGGAGGGGCTGGGGAAGGTGGCGGCTCGGTTCAGGGCGTTGTAGTGCTCTGGCTCGCCGACGGAAGCAAGCTGGAGGCAAAGGGCCTCTCTCGCCCTCCTCTCCCGCCTCCTCTCCTGCCTCCTCTCCCGCCTCCTCTCCCGCCTGTCTCTCCTCTGCCCCTCTCTCCCACCTCACCCGCCTCTCCCGCCGCTCGCTCTTCTCTTGCTTTTCTGTCTCTCTGCCTCTCCCCTTCCTGACCCGCCCCACCTCTCGCCTCCCGCCCCACACTCCTTGCCAGGCGCCCGCGCCGGTGCTCGCGCGCCACTCCCGCATGCTCGCCGCGCTGACGGGCGGCTCGCAGCGCTGGCGCGAGGCGGCCGGCGCGGCCGAGGGGCGGTGGGAGTGCTCGCTGGCGGCGCACGAGCCGGCGGGAAAACAAGAGCGCAGCTGCGGTTCGACCCTGTGCGTGTCCGCGACGCGTCTTTTGTCCCGTCCGCCGCTGTAGGCAGCCGTGCGAGGGGCGGTGGGTTGGATGCGCGCGAGCCACGGGGCGGCGAAGCGGGCTGCGGCGGCGCAGCTGCTGTCTCCGGAGAGGGTGGTGCCTGTGGCGAGGCTGTGCCACTACCTCGAGTGCCCTCCGCTGCTGGAGGTCCCTGTCCGAGATTCTGCGAGACGTATCAGAGAGACGCACCTCTCCGTGGCCCCTCTGGGACGCCTGCTAGACACCTCCTAGACACCTCCGAGACACTCTGTGATCGCCCGAGACACCGTTTAGAGACGCCCCTCTCCGCTCCCCTCTCAAGGCGGCGGTGCGCACCCTGGCCTCCGCCGTCGACGCCGCGAACGCGCCCTCCGTCCTGCTACTCGCCCACGAGCTGGGCGAGCCTGCGCTGGAGCGCGCAGCGGTCGCAACGGACTTGTGCGGGCCTCGGAGGCGGCGGCGGGTCCGCGACACGTGCCGCGCGCGAGTAGGTGGGTGGCATCCTGGCGGACCTCGACGAGGTGGAGAAGGCGGAGTATTGGCTCGAGCTGCCGCCGCTCACGCGCGCCACCGCGGCGCACGCGTCGCGACGCAGCAGCACCCCTCCCACGCCCATGCCGTGGTCCGGCAGGCGCGCCACGCTGCGCACGCTGCGCGACGCGACAGCGCGCAACCCACTCCTCTCCGCGGGGCCGCACGCGGCTCGCGGATCGAGCGCGTCTTCGCCGCGCGAGCTGCTTGCGATGGTGCGGGAGGCGCTGGCCGAGATGCGGGAGCGGCTCGCCGACGCGCAGCTGCGGCAGGAGCAGGAGAGCGACTCGGGCGACGCGCGGCAGCGGAAGACGGTGCGGTCGCTCGACCAGCAGGCGGGGCCCGCCCCCTCGAGCCCCTGGGAGCCCCTCTCCGCAGCCGCTAAAGCCACGCCCGAGGCCGCGCCCTGCCATTTTTGGCTCGGGTCCCTCCTCCTCCTGCCTCCTCCCCTCCACCCCTCGCCGGCCCTGCAACCGCAGGCGGCCTCCTCCTCCTGCCTCCTCCCCTCCACCCCTCGCCGGCCCTGCAACCGCAGGCGGCCTCCTCCTCCTGCCTCCTCCCCTCCACCCCTCGCCGGCCCTGCAACCGCAGGCGGCCTCCTCCTCCTGCCTCCTCCCCTCCACCCCTCGCCGGCCCTGCAACCGCAGGCGGCCTCCTCCTCCTGCCTCCTCCCCTCCACCCCTCGCCGGCCCTGCAACCGCAGGCGGCCTCCTCCTCCTGCCTCCTCCCCTCCACCCCTCGCCGGCCCTGCAACCGCAGGCGGCTTTCGTCGTCGCGCTCGAGGCGTACCTGCGCCAGGAAGAGAGCGCCTTCGCCGCGCTCGCCGCCCCCGCGACGCCGGCGCTGACGCAGGCATGGAGAGCGGGCGTCGCGCCTCCGCCGCCTGCGGTGCCGCCCGCCTCGCCGCGCGGCGCCTTCGTGCCGACGTACGAGTGGCAGACGCTCCCCGAGGCGGAGGCGTGCTTGCCGGCCGGGCTCGAGGTCGAGCTGCCGCTGGACGGACGGCCGCGCCGCGCGCGCATCCCGCCCCGCTGGACGGTGCGCGTGTGGCTGAGCGACGAGCTGGGCTTCTGGCGCGAGGCGGCGGCGCGGGACACGCCGTGCGGCAGCTTGCGTCTCTCGGCGGCCGCGTACGCGGGCGTGGCGCCGTCACATGTGCGGCTCTGCTACGTCAACGAGGAGATGGAGGAGATGGAGGTCGACGACAGATGGACGGTGGAGGAGGCGCAGCTGTTTCGCCGCGTCTCGCAGCTCCGCGTCGCGATTGGGGCGGGAGCAGAGGAGCAGGAGGGGTCCCTCGCTCCTCACACCTCACCTCGAGGTACAGGTAGATGAACATCGTACAGTGGCAGTAGACGAGCGTTTCCGTACCCGGCCGTATTTGCAATCCGGTTCTCCCGCGCGACTCTCCGTCACTGTCAATCTGAGACTGATCTGAGATCCAGTGTCACCGTGCGGTGCGCGTGGCGACCCGCGTCTGGGGGTTGCGACTAATCTCACAACCAGGCTCACACCCAGGGCTGGACCTGTCTGTGCTCTGTGGACTGTGGTCGCGCGCCGATATGCTCGATGTCCGATCGTCGAAGGTCGATATGCAGCGCCACTCGCCCGAATTTTCCATCTCTTTGCTTTTATTAGAAACCTCGCGCAATCGGTTCACACATACCCCTCTTTCTCGACGCGCCGCTCGCGCCACCCTGCCACGGTACTTGGGCGTGCCTCCGTACGGCTTTACCTGGCCTTTTGCTTCTTCTCAAGCCCCGCGGCCGCCTCCCCCGCCAACGGCCGAGCCGATCAGCCAGGGCAGCACGCTGCGCGCAAAAGAAGCGCCTTGCGAGAGGGCCACGAGGGCGCCGAGCAGCGCGCTGGCCGTCCAGATCCGAAGAGCTCGCCCGTTTAATTGGGGTGGCGCAAGTATCTGAACGGCCCGGAGGTGACCAGGTAGCCCTTGCCCTCTAGCTCCGGCCGGGGCACTCAAGCCAGAGCGCCGGCCCGAAGGATTTTTAGGGAAGAGGTAAGCTGCGGTCCGCGAGCGATGCCAGAGTCTGCCGCCGAGTCGGCTCTCTACATGTAGGGTTGGGTTGACGGGAAGACGCACACACGCCTCCATTCACTCCATCCACTCAGAACACCGCAGACTTTGGAAAGTGACAAGTGCGCGCGCCGCAGGCGAAGAGAATTTTTGAGCTCCCGTTCACAGCGTCGCTTCCCTTTTTCGGGGCGGCGCGCCGTGGGAGAAGACAGTACAGGAGGCCATGGTGCGGCTGAAAGGATACCTGTATCTGCACCTCGAGCGCGAGCGCGGCCGCTTCAAGAGGGTCGTGCTGCGCGTGCGGGTGTGGGACTGGTTCCGGCTCGGGGCGACCGACGTCATCGAGGCGCCGCATGAGGATATGATCAAGAGCTACACCTCCTTTACGGAGGCCGCAGCGGCGGTCCACAAAGCGCTCTACAGGAACGCCGACACCGCCCCAGAGAACGTTTGCTGGAACGATTACGTGGCGTACATTCGGTCCAGCCTCCCCCAGTCCAGCGACTCCAACCGCGCCCACAACCCGGCGGGAGACGGCCCCTTCAACAGGTCGCGCCGGCGCGGCACGCTCCCATGCCGCTTCTACATTGTGGGCATCACCTCCTACACCCACGCCTCGCCGGAGCTGGCCTCCGTAAAGATTGATTCGCTGCGGTTCAGCGACGGCTCGGGCGAGTGGGTCCGGGCCGGTCACCTCCGGCCCTTTGTGCCGGACGGGGTGGAGCTCGCCGAAATCGACCCGCTCGTCCGGCGGCAGATTCGGTTTGATCAGCACCATATGCGGCGCAGCAACTCGCTGAACGCGGTGCGCAAACGGTCGCGGCACGATCGCGAGCAGCAGGAGGAGGAGGAGGGCCAAGTGCCGGAGGTGGAGCTATACGGGGATGGTCGGCAGGGCAGAGTAAGGGACACGCCGAGCCCCTCTCCGCGAGGGGCGCCGGACGGGCACGACGAGCGGCGGCGCCCCGCAGCCGGTGCGCGCGCCCTTCCCAGCCTTCCACGCGCCCCGTCCTGGCCGTACCCTCGCCCCGCCCCGCCCCGGCGAGATGCTCCACCTCACCGCACCCTCCGATCCATTCACCGCTCCGCAGGCCCGCTCGGCAGCTCCGGCCTCCCCGCCCCTTCGCCGCGCCTCGCGCTCCCATCGGTGGCGCCGACGGCGGCGGCGAGCAGCGCCCCTCCCCCCTCCGCCCCCTCCGCCTCCGAGGCGGCCCGCGAGGCGAAGAGGAAGAAGGTCAAGTCGCTCGACGCGGGAGACCTCGTCTTTGTGGATTGGCTGCGCGTCCCCAACCCGGAGCAGGTCCACTCCCCTCCCTTCTTGCCGGCTGACCTCCCCGCCTTCATCGTCAGCTCCGAGATTGTGCGGATGGATATGCCAACTGCCGCGCGCGGCGAGAACAGCCCCCTCGACGTGCGTTTGGCGCCGTGGAGCCGCGATGGCTTGACTGTGGACCCGGCGACCCACTTCGTGGTGCCGCGCAACCACCTGATCAACTTCAACGCCGGCTTCCGCGACGTGTGGGCACACAGCGCCCGCGCAGAAGAGCGTGCAGGTGCCGTGCACGCGAGCCTGTTGGACGCGATCGAGTATATCGTCGAGTTTCGCAGGCGGCGAAGGCCAGGCTACCCGGGGGTGGACCATACGTGGAGGAACCTGATGGGGGCGGAGCCATTGCCGGCGCGGTTTTGCGCGGGCGGGGAGAGGAGTGGGTAAATTTCTAATTAGAAATTTCTAATTAGAGCCGGCAAATTTGTTGTTCGTTGACGTTGTGTACGAACAGTGTACCCCCGGTGTCGTGTGTACTCTCGTCCTCGGTTGTTTGGACTACGGTAGGGCTAGGGGGCGCGCAGCGCCCCAAAATCCACCACTGTGGGATTTCGCGCAAAAGCTTGACTCTGAAAAGCTCGCATATCCCTGCGGTGAGCGCTGTGGTCGCCGCAGAGACTGGCTCCGACTTGACGGCGGCATGGAAGACGTGATGCCTCCAATTAAGGACCACGGAAAATATTGAATATATTGCTCCAATAGTTAGAGATGCGATCAATATCAATATATATGGCAATAGTTAGAGGAGAGGCTGGGCCTGGGCTGGTCAGGACCGTCAGCAGGTCGGACTCAACATATCATAATTATATCCAGCGATGGGGGTCCATCCTGGGCTTGAAAGTGGCTCTAAATCGTTAAAAACGGGCCGAAATCGCTTCGAAATCGCTTAAACCGCATTAAAAATCGCCTTGAACTCGCGACTTTTTCGATTTCAGCCCACATCTAGGAAATGTTGGGACAAATCAGCGATCAATATGTCAATATATTGTCAATAGTTAGAGGGGATGCTGTCAATAATCAATATCAATAGTTACAGGGGCGAGAATCAATCTTTTCCGGGTCCTTACTAGCCTCCATGCCGCCGTCGAGTCAAAATCGACATGCGATCTTTGGCCCGCCAGAGGGATATGCGGCGTTCGGGTGACAAACAGCGCTGCGACCGCGAAGTGGCGGTGGACATGCTCCCATGTTGCCGACGCGGCGCCGGAGTGGCCGGCGCTGCTCGCCGCGACCACGACGGCTACTCTGATGCTCCGGGCCGACCCGTCCTACCCGACGGTGGCACTCTTCCACGTCTCGCTCACGCTGAGAAAAAATCTGAAACGGCGTGCAGCAGAGTCACCGACGAGTGGTCGCGTGACTCCTCGTGTCCCGTACCGTTCTGACTCACACAAAAACACAACCTTAAGAAAGAGCTGAACAGACAGTGTTGCTAGTGTTAACAGTAACAACAGAACAACAGTGGCTGCTCAGTGGGGCTAACGTTAGGCCGGCTGAACAACAATAAGGAAGGCCTGGCAGTGACCCACGACGATCTCCAGCGTCCAGACAGTGCGGGTAATACCCGAAAATACCCGGAAACCCCCCACACTACAAAGAACCCTGCACAAAGATCGCAAGGGCGGGGACCTGTTCCTTTTTACCCATCTCACAGTAGAGAGGTGTCCGTTTTATTTATTTATTTAGGTGAAATTTTCGTTCCGCGGGGTTTTACCCGGGTATTTTTTTGGCATTTTCTGCTTGCTGACCGCTGAACAACAGTAACAACAGTAACAAACAGTAACAGCTTGGGCTGGGGAGAACACTTGAACAACGTTGAGGATTTCAGCCAACAATAGTGCAACTGTTAGGCCCAAAGTTAACGTTTGACAACCCTCTGCAATTACACACCGACGGACAGGCTCTCCGCTATTGGCGCGTATAGAAGGTAGGAGATCTCCCTGGCACTACGGAGGAGGAGATAGCTGCACCTTCGTCGGAATTGGCATTCGGGCCGCCCGTGCCGCCAGCACCAGACGGCACGCCGCTCTATCAGTACAGCCACACCCAAGTGACGGCTGCCTGCGCCGCGGCGGCGGCGCCAAATGCGGCGAGGGCGAGCTCAAGGCTCGACTCGTCCGCCTCCGCCGCAACGCGCAACATCCTCCCCACCGGCCCGCCCCGCAGCTCGCACGCTCGCCTCAGCGCCAGAGCGCAGAGCGCCGCCGCCGCCGCCGCGAGCGAAGCGCTCGCGAGCAGCAGCGGCGTGCGGTTGGCGGAGGTGGCGTCGACGTCGAGCCACACCACGTGCAGCGAGCCGCGGAAGTGGTGGCCCCCGCCGCGGCCGCCGCCGGCGTCGCGGCAGCGCCGCCAGTCGATGCGCGGCCACGACTGGCCCGCCGCCTGCCCGCCGCCTCCTTCTCGCGCCATCACCTGCGGGCCTCGCGCCGGCCCTCCGCGCAGCGGGAGGCGCTCCCTCTGGCTCTCTCTCTGGCACGCGTCGCTGGCGGCCTCGTCGTCGGACGACTCGAGCTTGGCGAGCCCCGGCGGCGGCGGCGCGTGCGCGGCCACGTGCGCCTGCAGCGCCGCAAACGCGAAGCCGACGGCGGTGAGCAGCCAGCCGCCAAAGTGCAGGTGCTCGCCGAGCACGAGGGTGAAGGCGCCAAAGGCGTAGCCGAGGGAAGTGCCGCACGTCGCCTGGAAGAAGCGGCCGCCGAGCGTGCGCCGGCACCGCGCGCACAACCCGAGCCCCGCCGGCGCGACGACGGCGACGGCGAGGAGGCGGCTGAAGCGGCTGATGGCAAGGCGGAAGAGGAGAGGCACGGCGACGAGCGGCGCGGCGCCGAGGAAGCCGAGGTACACGGCTCCACCGTGCATCGGCAGGCGCACGCGGTCGTCCAAGTCAGAGAGCAGCGCCGCCAACCCCTCCGGGGAGCAGAGCGGAGCGCGGCGGTGTCGTACCGCCGAGTCGAGCGCGGACGCGTCGGCGAGGTGACGCCGCTCGCCATGCTGGTCGACAAACTCGCAGCAGCAGAAGAAGGCCTCCACGTCCTGGTCGTGCGGCGGCCTGCCGTGGTCGTCGAGCATCTCAGATGGTGGACGCAGCCGCGTGGAGGCAAAGCGCTACACACAGAGCGAGGCCGACTGAAAAAGAATTTACGCTATAGGGCAGGAGAAAAGACGAGCACTGACCCTCTGTGTTCGTGTGCGTCGCCCATCTCTCCCTGGAGATGACTGCTCTATTTATTTATTTATTAGACGAGCACTTGTTGTGTGTTGTGTGTTGTGGTTGTGTGCGGTGTGCGGGGTGTGAGAGAGAGAGAGAGAGAGAGAGAGAATCGCGGAGAGGCCTTCCTTCTCTCTCTCTCTTGTGTGTGTGTTGTGCGTTGTGTGTTTTTTGCGGAGAAAGAAGTTTACAAACAAACTGCCTCGCGCAAAAGAATTACAGCGGCCTCACTTTGGGACACGGGCGGTGGGGGTCCCGGGTGGTGGTTGGGAGCTTGGCTGTTGGGCGCGCGATTTGGGCGAAAGCGAGAAAAAAATTTATGCTAAAAAGGCTGGTGCTGCACACCGCCATCGCAGCGTGTTGAATTTTACAACAGCGTGTTGAAAAGGCGCTCTTGTCGCCACCGCGGTGGTGGTCGAGCGCGTCGCGCACACGATAACAAAACAAAATTGCTAAATCTCTCTCTCTCACGATAAAACGTGCGTACGTGATGGTGGTGAGCTCGGTCGAAGGTGGTGGGCCGAAAACGCGAGTCGGTACGGCCGCGCGGGGCCACGGCGAGCTTTTTAGCAGAAATCGCTCTCTTCGCCGCTTTCGCCCAAATCGCGCGCCCAACAGCCAAGCTTCCAACCACCACCCGGGACCCCCACCCGTGTCCCAGAGTGAGAATTCCGAGTCTAATCACAAACCTCGCACAGCACGATTCAAAGAACTTGTTATGAGAAGAAAATACCTCCTATCGTCCTATGGCGCTGCGCGCTGGTCCTCTATGAGAGGTTGAGGTGTGAGCCCTGGAGGCCCTCGCGCCTCGGAATGGCGGAGACTACCCACAGGCCTAGAAGGCCCGCGCGCAGGGGGGTGGGACATTGCGGCCGGTCATGAATGAGTGCGCGACACGCATGTTGCGAGAGCAGCGTTGTTGATGTTCTGCGCGTCGCCACACAGCGGCGGACGGCCGCGCCGCGCGTAAGCTGTCACACGACAGACAAAGGCGCGCGCGCGACAGCAGCTTCCTCAGAAGCCGTCGTCCCCACCGCAGAAAAAGAAAATGAGGCGGCAGAGAGCTCCGCGGCGCGGAACGTCGATACACGTTTGCCGCGGGGGGGGGGGGGGGGAGGCGGGCCGCCGGGAGAATCTCCCGCGCGGCGCGGGTTCGGTTGCCGGTACACGCGGACGCGGTTTGTGCTTTGAGCTTTCGCATCTTTCTGATATAAATGGATTGTACTATACTACCTGCGCGTCGACGCTCCCGCGCATCACGTACATTCAAGCGCATGCTACAAGTGGCGTGAGCTGGCCACTGGAGGTGCATATATGATATATTATTTATATGCCAAATATGCGCATCCGCTGATCCGAGCAACTCAAGTCATCAGTCCGCTTTGGCGCGAGCCTTGGCAGCCCGCTGGCCCAGCCCGCTGATCGCCCGAGTCAGGCCGGTTAGGAGGATGGCGACACCGATCTGTGCGGGGCAGCGTGGGTGTCACTTGGTGCAGTGAGGGCTAAGCGGCAGTCAGCCGATCAGCCGCGCCGCGACGGCGATGGCCGGCCCGACGGTGGAGGCGAGCTGCGCCCAGTCCATCGCCTAACGGCGTGCATGTCAGGCCCTCAAAGCCAAGCGTAGGCGACCGGGGGCGGCCAGATCGCCGGCGCACGTCTTGCCGACTGTCCTTGACTTTGAGGTAGAGGAGGCCGCCGCACGCCGTGATGAACATGAAGAAACCCTGGTTGCGCTGCGCTTTGAGGCGCAATGCGAGCTCAGGGTCGGCAGCCATTTAGCGGCAGTAACGCTGCTGGGCAGCGGCAGCGATGAGTGTCTCCAGGCGCTCACTCGTGCCGACGGCAACGCAGCAAAGCATGGAAAGAATTTCAGGGTCGCGAGAGCGGCAGAGCGCGATCAAAGTTGCTTGCTTGCTTGTTACTTACGTGCGGTTGTAGAAGACCTTCATGATCAGCACCACGCTCCTCCGGCAGTGCCCATCCTTCCGCCCTGGCGTGGCGTACGTGCTTCACAACGCCCTCTACCTGCAGCCCTGCGCGCGCAACGTTGCTGCCACCTCGCTGCTCGCCAGCCGTGGGCCCGGGTTTGCGCTGCCGGCCGACTGCGGCTTTGAGCGGCTCGACCCCAACTCGGAGCCCACTGCGGCGGAACTCGCGGCGGTGGTGGACGAGGTGTACGCCGCGAGCACCGCCTCGGCGGGCGCTATGGGTGAAAATGACGCTGGGATCACCTTTGCCGGCGACGGAGAGCCGCTGCTGGCGCTCGAGACGCTGGTCGAGACCGTGGAGCTGCTGCGGGTGCGGCGCAACGGGCTGCCGATGCGCATCGTCACGAGCGGGCTCGTCGGCCCCGAGATTGCGGAGCGGCTGATGGGGTCGGGCGCCGTGGCGCTCGGCGATGAGGACGCGCGGCGCGAGACGCGGATCGCCTCTGTCTCCGTGGCGCTGAACGCGGACAGTCCGAACCTGTACCAGCGGCTGGTCGGGCCTCCGAACGGCGCGGCGGGGTTCGGCCAGGTCTGCGGCTTCATCTCCGCCCTCGCAGAGGGCGGCGTGGCGGTCGAGTGCACGTGCGTGGAGCACCCGGACGTGGATGTCGCGGCGACGAGGCGGCTCGCCCTCGCGCTGGGCGCGAGGGATCTGCGCGTGCGACCGTACTTTGCGGCGAGTTGATGAGACGTTGTGGGGCGTCCGTGTGTCGGCTCCTGGTCGCCCCATCGCCCGCATCGGGGTTAGAGTACATCTGGAGCCGTCCTACTTTTTTCGTTCACAGCTTTTCGCAAAAAAAAATCTTCCCCAAGCGCGAAGGGCTCTCTCCTCCCGCCCCGAATAGGGAGTCCACCGTGCTGCGAACCTGTCGCTGTCCCTTTTGTCAGTAGCAGCAAGCAGGAGAACTAGGAGAGCGCACAAGAGCGGCCGCACACTCTGCTCGCTACCCCCCCTGCACAACTAAGCTCATCCCTGCTGCTAGGGGGGGGGGGTCTGACCCCCCCAGCAGCAGAGCGCTCCTGCTGGGGGGGGGGTCCCGACCCCCCCAGCAGCAGAGCGCTCCTGCTGGGGGGGGGGGTCCCGACCCCCCCAGCAGCAGAGCGCACTGGACCCAGCTCTCCCGCCTCCTCGCCGCCGCCCCCCCCTCTCCGCCCTCGGTTCGTGTTTAAGCGGTACTCGTACGCTCGAGGCGGTTGTGTTCGCCGCGCCTTCGAGCCCAATACACCTCGCGAGAAAGCGCTGCGCGGTACTCGGCAGTGTCGCAGTGTCGAGCAACACTCGGTGTCAGAGCGTCGCGCCTCCATCAGTAGTCTCATCATCAAGTGATTGCTGGCCTGTGGCGTATGACCTCGCGCGGATATCACCAACGACGAGCATGCGAAGATAGGGAACAATATCTTGTACAGCCCGCTGTGCTCCCCGCTGTGCCACGGCGTACGATGGGCTGCGAGAGCCGTATCTTCCCTCCTTGAAGCAGAGGAGCCGCGAGGCACGAGAGGCGTAGAAGAGAGGCTGGCGTGCCCCGCACCTCCCGGTTGGCAGTAGGAGGGCCCGCCGGTGAGACCACTGATTTTGATGCCGACTATAAATTCTCGCCACTGGAACGCATGCTACTTACAGCTGCTGTCTGTACAGAGATGCCAGCACCCCCCACAGGCAGAGCGCTCCTGCTGGGGGGGGGGTCGGCCATGAGCTTAGTTGTGCAGGGGGGGTAGCGAGCAGAGTGCGGCCGCTCCAACCAGTAGGAGGCCCGCGCCTGCCCCCGTGCCGCCGGGTGCAACTTTGTCCTATACGAGAGGGGAATCCCTCCAACCCTGGGACCCTGTCGTGTGGGTGAACCCTGCCCAGCCCCCCTCCGTGTCGCGATGCGCTCCCCGCTCCCGTTCCCCTGTGTCCCTGATCGTCCTTACAAGATCCTGCTCGCGCAGGTGGGGACCCTGTCCATCTCCCACCCCTTGTTTGGGTGTCCGTTTTATTTATTTATTTATTCCTCCAACGGGGTAGTCTGGCAACGCGTGGATCCGGCCCGCCTCGGCGGGTCACGGTTTAGCGCGACGACCGGGGGAGCTCTGATCGCCGTACTCACCGGGACGCTGGTGAGGTGACGGTGGGAGGGCACCCCCCCAGACAGCCCCTCCCGACGGGGACGCCATCACCCTCGCCCAGGGATCTACAATGCTTTAAGGTGCGACAGGTTCGGCACCGGGCACCGCCTCGGTACTCGAGTATACAAAATGCGCCTGCGGGCAGACCCTCACAGATCACAGAAAGAAGACGGGCCGCGTGCTCCCGCCCGCCTCCCATCCCCCCTTGGGTTGTGTCTTTCTCCTTGTCACGTCGCCCTTTTCTTTTCTCGTTATTTTCTTCTTTCCTCGCCGCCCTTTTTCTTTTTTGTGGGCTGCGGCCTCTGGCACCGAAGGGTGGCGGGGTCCAAGACTCACACAAGTCCCACACACGGACGGCCGCCAAACTTGTCGGCGAGCCGCTCTCCGCCGCGGCTCCTCGCTACAAACCATGATGGTGTGTGTGCGCGTCACCCCCCCCCCCCCCAACGAGCAGCACCCTCCCACCACGACTCGTCGCCGCGCCTTTCTGTTCTGTGTGCGGCGGCGGGTGCTGACTCGAGTCCAGACGCCCGCCCGCCAACGCTCGCCGTCACCCCACACATCCCGGCGTTCTCCCAGCCCCGTGCTCTCGCCGCCGGCGCTGGCTCGTCAGCACCCCCCCCCCCCCCCTCCCCCCTGCACGCGGAGACAACCCCTCCCACGCGACGCACATGGCGCGCATGCAGTGTGGCATGGCGCATGCGGCGACCCTCTCTCCCTCCCCGACCCCCCCTCCACCCACAGGGTGGTTCAGCAAAAACCCAGGCCCTCACCAAAACCGGTGGGCGGTACATGGCCGCGCACCTCGGCGTCGCCGACGCCGACGCAGCGAGAGCCCATCTCAAAACTAACGTGTTGAGCAAGTGCAGCGGTTGGGACGACCAGATCCTCCGCGACTACCTCAAGGACAACATCTACCAGACGTTCCTCATCAACAAGAAAATTGACTACGAGAAGAACGAGATCAAAAAAAAATTAAATATTCTTAGCTTCGCCCTTGCCTCCGAGACTAGGGACAGAACCCACCCGTACACAGGAGAGATGGGACTGCCCCTCGCCCTCGCTTGCCCTGACTGCACAGGATAGCGTGCCCCGATGACGGCGACACTTAGCGAGGGTCACTGCGCAAGGAGGTTCGGTTTTGCCTTTCTCTGTGCTCTCGAGGGAATGTTCTCTCGACGCCCATGGCCTTCTGAGGTTTCGTACTAATGACGTCCTTCTTGGCACTTCGGGCGTCGGTGTGTGCATGTCTGTGGTGTCTAATTCCCCCGGTATTTTTTTATTTTTATTATTTTTATGCTATATATATAGGTCGCCCGCCGGCGCCTCCTATCATCTCCTCTGCCTCTTCGGCCGGCCGCCAGCTCGATGGTCGAGTGGCTTCCGGATCGAATCGGCAGGGTGACCCTTATAATTTTTTTCACCTAAGCGGGCCCAATTTTGCTCTAGGTGCCTCCTACGATTCGATCCAGCGTTCTCAGGCAGTCGCCTGGTGCGTTGTTTCGTTTTCGTCACGGGAGTACTCTAGCTTCTCCGAGAAGAACGAGATCAAAGATGGACACCTCAAGGCGGTCGTCCCCTCCCCTCGCCCCTCTCCCCCAGCCGGCGACGCTGCAGGACCCAAGCCAGAAACGGCCGCCCAGACCTCGACGCGACCTCGGTGCCCGTGCCGCTGGGTTAGACCCGCCTCCCAACGACGCGAGCCTGCCGTCGCCGAGCCCGCCCCCTCTCCACCGCCGCCCTCTCCGACGCCGCTATCGCCTATCTATCCGCTCTCGCCTCCTTCCCGTCGCCACCACCGCCCTCGCCGCCGTCGCCCATTCCCCGCCAACTGTCGAAAGGGGAAATGACTAACCTATGCAGTGCAGGCGATCCGAGCGGCGGCGATGAGTGAGAATTCGTTGACAATAGGATCGTAAGTGCCGAAAGCGGTGTCGACGGATCCAAGGCAATCGGCGAAGGCTAGGAAATCGGCGGCACATGAAGATTTCGCAGTGGACGGCATTGGAGATAAGGGCGACAGACATGTTGACGGCGAGGCACGCAGTAGGAACGACGTAGTAACTCAGGAAAGAGCAAGCAAAGTGACCAAGCTCCCTAAGGCGTGCAGAGCGGCGCAAAGGCTGTCCAGGCTCAAGGTCAGGCATAGGAATTGGTTCCGTAACGCGCGGAGAGGCGCGGGAAACGTCGGCGGGGACCTCGATGGTGGATGCCTCATCCCCTCCTGAACTGGCGGCGGCAGGCGTGTTGGGCGGCGCACCATGCGGCGTAGACGGCGGAGCAGACTGGGCGGGGGCGTCACGGCGAGCACCGGCGGTCGAGGGACGAACATTGCGCTGATCGCGGCCCTGGGGTCCATCGGCGATGGCATCGGCGGGGCCGGCGCGTACGGGCGGAGCAGAGGTAGACTCGGCGATTCCGCTGTCAGGCGTACGGGCGGAGCAGAGGTAGACTCGGCGATTCCGCTGTCAGGCGGAAGCGATTCGCTGCTGGGAAACCAAGAGTATCGATGCCCCTTGAGTCCAGGGAACTGATCTTCCCAAACGCGAATCTTGGCGACGACCTGAACGACCTTGGACGCAAACTGGTGGTGTCGGCCTCGGCGATGCAGTAGTCGAGGCCGTACTGGCCGGTGGAGAAGCCATAATCGATAGCGGTCCCGCCATAGCTCTCGCATAGGAGCAGGAGCAAAGACAGGGGCCGCTCCCTAACCGAGGCGCAAGGGCTCCCTCCTCCCGCCCGCCCGCTCGCACCGCAACACCGACAGTCGTGAAGCAAACCACCGCGGCGCAGCCCTCGTCCTCAGCCGGCGCCCAGGCACACATACATGGCACCATCCACAGTTGATTGCCTCGCTGGCCACTTGCAGCCAGCGATCGTGGGTGGCGGCATATTCTCGGCTCTGCATGTCGCACAGGGTTTTCTGCTGACGCCGCAGCTCGTGGGCCTGAACATCGGCTTTTTGTATGCTTATGGTGCGCTCACTTGTCCACTCGAGGAGCTCTCAGGCCGGCGATCGTGGACGCACAACGCGCTTGCGGGCGGCGCCCTGGGCTACATCGCTTTTGAGCAGGGCTTGACAGGCATTC